GTTATTACCCGCAGCCTGAAGTGGATTGTTGCATATCTAATAATGACGAACCGGCTACTGTAAAAGAGGATTTTCGCGATATTCGAAAGTCAGACAAACCAAAATAGAGGTTAACCTTCAAACACAACGCCAACTTCCATACTTGCAATTTAAAAATCCTCCTTTAAAGTTGCTGATAGACACAGGCGCGAATCAATCATTTATTAGCCCTAAGGCAGTCGAGACTTATTTTAGTAATGTAAGATTGAATTATGATCCTTTTGAAGTATGCAACGTGCACGCGGTGACACGTAGTGACTATTCGATAACCTTACCTTGCTTTTCGGAATTAAAAGATAGCGGTTACGTAACACTATTTGTCTATAACTTTCATGATTACTTCGACGGGTTGATAGGATCCGATTTGCTAGACAAGTGGGAAGCTACAATTGATTTTAAATCTAAGCTACTACTAACAAAAAACGCGTCAAATCCCATACACGTTTATGACTCGCGGAACGCTAATTTATATGAAGATATTATACCCGCTGGCTCCTCTAAATTAGTTAGGTTACCGATTAATACCCGAGATGGCGAAGTTATTATTCCGGACCAGGTTATATCTAATTGTCACATAAGTGAATGTTTAACCACTGTAAAAAACCAGAGAGGTATATTAGAGATCCATAACCCGAGTCGTAGCGATGTAATTTTTTCTATGGACCGCCCCGTATGTGCTCACCTTTATAACGTTGAGTGCATGCGCACCGAACAAACGTCTCAGCGCGTAAAGGAAGTGTTATCGCGATTGCGCACTGATCATTTGAATGAAGAGGAGCGCATTAATTTAGAGCTGTTATGCGAACGTTTCGCGGATGTATTTTATTTAGAAGGGGAAAACTTGACTTTCACTAATAAAATAAAACACTCAATCAAAACTACTGATGAAATTCCTATATATACAAAAAGTTACCGTTATCCATTCGTACATAGGCAAGAAGTTCAAGATCAAATTAGTAAAATGTTAGAACAAGGCATCATTAAACCATCAGAATCTGCATGGAGCTCCCCTATTTGGGTTGTACCCAAAAAGGTGGACGCGTCAGGAAAAACTAAATGGAGATTGGTAGTAGATTTTCGGAAATTGAATGAAAAACTTTGGACGATAAATACCCCATACCGAACATAACAGATATTTTAGATAAGTTAGGCAACTGTCATTATTTCACAACTCTAGACCTAGCGAGTGGTTTTTATCAGGTTGAGATGAACCCCGCGGATATACCAAAAACAGCGTTTACGGTAGAGCATGGCCACTTCGAATTCTTAAGAATGCCCATGGGTTTAAAAAATAGTCCGTCCACTTTCCAGCGTGTGATGGATAATGTTCTCAGAGATTTACAGAATACAATATGTTTAGTGTATCTCGATGACGTCATCGTATTTTCCACGTCATTGCAAGAACATATAGTAAATTTAGAAAAAGTATTTAGCCGATTACGCGAGTCGAATTTTAAAATCCAGATGGACAAATCAGAATTTCTTAAACTCGAAACAGCTTACTTAGGGCACATTATCAGTAAGGACGGCATCAAGCCAAACCCAGACAAAATATCCGCAATAAAAAATTATCCTCTTCCAAAAACCCCTACTGAAATTAAAAGATTTTTAGGCCTCCTTGGTTACTACAGAAAATTTATACCAGATTTTGCTAAAGTAACAAAACCCATGACCCAATGTTTAAAGAAAGGTTGCAAAATAACTTTAGATCAAAATTATATTCAATGTTTTGAGAAATGTAAGACGCTTTTAACCAATGACCCGATACTGAGATATCCCGATTTTACAAAAGAGTTTATTTTAACTACAGACGCGTCTAACATAGCCATAGGAGCCGTTCTTTCACAGGGTACTATAGGTGCGGATAGGGCTATCGCTTACGCTTCTAGGACTCTAAATAGTAGCGAATTAAACTACAGCACTATTGAAAAGGAACTCCTTGCAATTGTATGGGCCACGAAATATTTTAGACCGTATCTCTTCGGTAGAAAATTTAAAATCGTGACTGATCATAGGCCTTTGCAATGGGTTATGAACATCAAAGAACCCAACTCGCGTCTTACTAGATGGCGACTCAAATTGAGTGAATTTGACTTTTCAGTAGTATATAAGCAAGGAAAATGCAACACTAATGCTGATGCATTATCCCGTATCGAAATACATAACGAAGAAATTAGCTCCGTAAGGGCCAACCCTAGCGAAAATCCACCTTCTCTAATAGCTAGCTCAAATACTGATACAGTCCACACAGACTCTGAAAACCCTATATTAGAAGTACCTATTACTGATTTTCCACTAAATAAATATCATAAGCAAATCGTTCTAACGCTTGTCGATGATATAAAAAGCCGACCTTCAGTTTCTAAGCCCTTTGAATCGCATATGAGAAACACATATTCAAATTTCCAAAACTAACATTGAGGAGGATGTCGTAAACGCAATAAAAGGATATGTTAATCCAAAAGTAAAGACCGGCATTCTCATAAATCCCCCTGTGGCGATGTATGAAATTATTCCCATAATACAAAATAACTTTAAAAGCTCCTCTATGGATTTAGTTTTTAACAAAATCAGAGTTAGAAAATATTAAAGATTATTTAAAGCAACAAGAAATAATTCGTAATTACCATGAGGGTAAAACGAACCACCGCGGAATTAACGAGTGTTACTTATCTTTATCCAACAAATACTACTGGCCAAAAATGAAGGAGCACATAACAAAATACATAAATGAGTGTAATATATGTGGCCAGGCTAAGTATGATAGAAATCCCATAAAACAGAAATTTCAAATCGTGCCACCTCCGACTAGGCCTTTTGAAATTGTACATCTCGATTTACTAAGCGTTGAGTCGCAGAAATACCTTACAATCATAGATGCTTTTTCGAAATATGCTCAAGCTTACTTTTTAAAAGATGCGACAGCCGTTTAGTGTCGTACAGGCTCTTTTAAAATTTAGCACACATCACGGACTCCCCATGACGATTGTAACAGATAGAGGTCCAGAATTTACGAATCAATTATTCTTAGAATTCATTAGAATACACAAAATTCAACATCATAAAATACTAGCATGTGCACCTAACGAGAATGGTATAGTAGAGAGACTGCATTCGACATTATTAGAACATCTACGTATTTTAAAATTAGAAAATCGCGGTGAATCTGTCATAAACCTAATGCCTTATGCAATTCTAGGATATAATAATTCCATTCACAGCTTCACGAAATGTAGACCCTTAGATATAATCACTGGTCATCTAGATCCTCGTAATCCTTTAGACATAAATTTATCAGAAAATATATTACAATTGTATACGCAGGAGCACCGCAATAAAATGCAAAAAGTCTATGAGATGATCAATGAATCATCCCTTCACAATCGTACTCGTATCACGGAAAATATTAACAGAGATAGGGAACCCGAAGAGGAGTACTCCCCAGATCAGCATGTATTTATACGAAATCCAATGGCTAACCGTCAAAAATTAGCTCCGAGATATACACGTGACATAGTCCTAGCTGACCTTCCGATTCACATTTATACTAAAAAGAAACGAGGGCCAATCGCTAAGTCTCGGTTAAAACGGGTCCCTAATAGTAATCGGTTGTTACAGGATTGTTCTTCTGATCCTGAGCCCAGCACGAGCAGAGGACATAACGCTGAATAATTTGGATAACGGACCTGGCATCTTACCTTTCTTTTTAGGGCAATCAAAAGTTATCTCCCACTATCATTCTTTCATTCAACCCGTTAACGTAGATATTATAACTACTAACATTAATTTAGTAAGGAAACAATTAGATGATATTTCGCCTCAGTTCCATAATAAAACGCTTTCCTTATATCAACCTCACATAGAATATCTTTATAGTAAAATAAAGCAGCTATCTGATCAAGTAGAGTTATTTCAATCTCATCGCACTAAGCGAGGCCTAATCGACGGGTTAGGCTCAGTAATAAAAAGCATTTTCGGGAAACTTAGATTATACCGATGCCATTCGCTATGATAACGCTATTAAATCCTTACGAGAAGACGAGAATAAAATCGTCACGGAATTAAATAATCGTATTAGTTTAAATAAACATTGGATGTCACAAAACTCGGAAATTTTAAGTAAAATGTCTCAAAATCAGGATAAAATTAGGGAAGTTGTCGATTTGATTATGGAAAACGAATTAAAAAGTGAGAAGGATTTAATTAAATTTGCCCATTTAACTCAATATCTTATAATGCTAGCAGATAACATTGAATCCTTATCAGATGAACTACTGAGGTTGGAGAACTTATTAGCATTTATACGTGCCAAAAGCACACATTTTCTTATGTTTAAATTAGACGTATTTGATAGTATGATAGAACAGTTAAATGCTCTCTATGGCCGAGAGCAAATACTGAACATTAGCTTTAGGGATTATTTCGATATAGTTAAGTTAGGGTACTATTATAACAGTAAAAATTTAGTATTAGTATTTAAGCTCCCTGTAGTTTTTCCTACCACTTATAATTTCTACAAACTATCCATAGTTCCCAATAGAAACAACAAAGTATTAATCCCAGCCTATCCCTTCCTAGCAATTCACGACAAAGATTTTATGTACATAGAGGCAGAATGCCCGAAGTCCAGCCAGTATTATCTCTGTGAGGATAACATCAATCAACACTACAAGGATCAAGGCGACTGTATCCATCGCTTGATAACCACGCAACAAATCGACAAATCTTGTCAATACACTACTACCGAACTGAAAACTGAAGCTGTAGACGTACTCGACGATCGCCACTACGTAGCAAGCTTTCCTGTACCCACGAAGATTCGCATGTCCTGCACTGAAACACAATATAACACCATAAAAGGCAGCTACCTTATTACAATTCCGAAAGGATGTGTCGTACAAACGTCAGGTCTAATACTCGCAAACAAGGATGACCGCTTGAAAGGACAGGCATTAAAAATAATGAATATCCCCTTCGCCAATAGAACTAGCGAAAACTCAGAAATTAGAAGATTGACACTCAACTCCGCAGATCTTCACAGCCTCCATGCTGCTGCCAAGGAAATATCCATGGAAGCACCGCTGACTCTAGACAATGGTGACATTCATAGCGTGTACTACACTATAACACCGCTATACTTACTACTATTAGGTGCAAGCGCACTGGGTATTGGCTTCGCATTAAGAAAATACGTGAGGCAACGCTCATCGGAAACTACAGCTGAATGTGCAAATGGCGAGATAGAACAAGGCAACACCAATATTACTCTAACTGGATTATCCGCGCTATTCTCAAATCAATCTACGAATAGTCGCTGATCTTAGGGAGGGAGATGTTAAGTAATTAAATTCCACGGAATTCGCAAGGCAATGGAAATCACATCAATACCCATAAATATTGCATCAGACTGGGGACGAGCGTGAGAACGCCGAATCAGCCAACGTGACCCGCGGTTGCGACACACAGCGGCATCGCATTCAAGACTTATATTTTTACTTCACTTTCTGTTCTAACATCGAACACGATTGTCGCGCAATTAGAATTAAATTTAAATTGTAATTATTTAATAAGTAATTAAAGTTTTTGTAATAATTTCGGTTTTTTTTGCGACTTGTCTGCCGGACTGACATAATTTATATATATACAATATAATTTCAAATAATATTAGAGATTTTTAAAATAATTTAATTCCAGATTACAAAATTATTAGTTAAAAAATTATAAGTTAATAAATAGTCACTAAATTATATAATTTTATATTTTAGCAATGTCATATAGACATTTTTTCTGATAGTTTAAATTTATTTAAAAAGAAAGTGTATTTAAATATTTAGATTAGTTTTTTTTTCTTCTTTTGTTTATTGTACAACTAAAATGGCTCCTTATATACTTTTAACCAAATAAAATTTTAATGGAATACTTTTATAAAAAGCTGTGCATACTTTCAAATTAAATTTATATACAAATAGGTAAAATTATAATGTTAAATAAATGTTTTTATGTAAATTTAGTTAGTAAGCATTTATAATAAATAAATGAATAAATAAATAAAGCTTTATTATTATTATGATTCCTTTTACATTATTTCAATAAATTAATAATTCCACGCAAAATATTATGTTCGATAATTTCGCATGCTCAGATATAAGCATCATGGTCAAGCGGCCAATGCGCAAATTTGACAACCACAGGTGTCTGGGTTCGTATCCCGGTCGGACACAAAGTTTTTAATTTTGTTTTTTTTTGTAGTTCAAATTCTTAGTTTGTTTTTTTTTAATGTTTTTTTTGGCCTAACACTCCGAGCAAGGCTCGGTCGCCCAGGTACTATATATATATATATATATATATATGATGATGATGATGTTCTCCTGGCCGATTCCGGCTACGGCGGCCAATCTCAATGAGATTAACCAACTGCGCAGGAGATATTATAGTGCTCAAGTGTACGCGCAGACACAAGTGCACTCTCTATTCCTATCACTCTCATACTCCGATGGGACGACCACTCGACACGACCGGTGAGAGTTAAGGCGCAGGACCGACAGCTTTACGTGCTCTCCGAGGCACGAGGGTAAAACACCGCCAACTTCCCAACTCCGGGCTGTTACTGAGACTTACTATACAGGAAGACTCAATAACTAAACTTGGCCCGACCCGGGACTCGAACCCAGGACCTCCGGGTGTGCAGCCGTACATGCTAGCCACTACACCACCGAGGCAGTTAACTATATATATATATATATATATATATATATATATATATATATATATATATATATATATATATATATATATATATATATATATATATAATGTATGTACATAAAATTTGAGTAAATATAATCGAACTTCCTTTAACATTAATACAAAAAGAGCCTGAAATGGCACATTGCGATTAGTCAAGCGTACAGCAAATTGAATAACGCTTGTTGAAATTTGAATTTTTTATCTCGTAATATAGTTTCATGTAGGCTACGTCTTAATTTACTTTTTTCTATATAATAAAAAACTGAATGTTAATGGCACATTCGGGGTTCCTGGGTTCAAGTTCTGGATCTAGCCAAGCTTCATTATTGAGTCTTTCTGTTAAGAGTGTCCCAATAACAGACCGGAGTTGGGAAGGTAGCGGTGTTTCACCCCCTAGATGATGATATCAAACTATTTGTTGTCAAACGAATATCATACACTCACAAAAGTAATCGAAAGTAGATAAGGATCAATTTCCTACATGAAGCTAATAAAAAAGTAATTTGTATTGCTTGCCATAGTTCATGCATTTTATTATTTTCATTTTATCTGTAAACTAGCGGTTCGTCCCTAGGTTGCTTCCCCATACAAACTTTCACCCTCATTTTACTACCACTTTTCCACTTTCCACTAATACTTGCTCATCTGATGTTATTACTATTTGTATAGGCATTAAGTCAAACAACAATCTTACCAACTTTCGAATATATTGCGGTTACTTTCCCCAATGTGCGTTGCAACTTGATGATCAAATTAAATTTTATGAACAAGTATCCGAAGCAATCATTTTAAATCCTAAAGACACATTTTTATTAGTTGGAGATTTCAATATCCCGGCCGCTAATTGGTCTCAAGTTGATGATACTAACGTCACTAAACTGTTACACACACCCAGAGATTCAAATTCTCAAGTTAGCCTATTATCTACTTTTTTACGAATAAATAACTTAAACCAGTTTAACATTATACCTAACGGTAATAATCGATATTTGGATCTGGTGATTAGCAATTCTAATTGTATTAGTGTAAAACACTGTGAAATACCTTTAGTTAAAGAAGATTCACATCACCCCGCTCTAGAAGTTGAATTAAGCAATTTACTATCTAACTTTCTCACGAATGCTCCACGAGTTGTTAAACTTTTCCGTAAAGCGAATTATCATGAAATTAATAAAAGGTTGTTTGAAATTGATTGGCCGGAGTGTTTTAAGTCTTTAGATATAGAGCGTGCAGTTGAAGTATTTTACGAAATCATTAATCGTGTTATTGATTCTCTTGTTCCCACTAAAATTGTTCTTGTTAATAATAAATATCCCATTTGGTATACCTCTGCGTTAAAAAAAATTACTAAGGAAAAAATAAAAGTCCATAAAAAATGGAAAACTTATGAAAATTATAGTGACTATTGTACTTTTCGGATGCTGAGGAGGAGACAAAAAGTAGTTGATACCGAATGTTATAATAACTATCTGAAATACGCTGAAAACACAATTGCTAAGGACTCTAAATACTTTTGGACATTTGTAAAATCTAAAAAGCAAAGCGCTGACTTACCTGACATGTTTTACCTGGATAATTTTTTCTACAGATAATGGACAAGAGATTAGCGATCTTTTCAACAACTATTTTTATTCTTCTTTTGAGCAGACTCCCATTAAGTATACCCCAAATATTAAAGTAGACGTTCACCCTCGCTGTAATAGCATGGACCTTTCTTCTGTTAATATTTCAATGCTGACTGTTGATAAATACTTAAAATCATTAAACATAAACAAGGGCTGTGGTCCAGACGGTGTACCTGCTATATTCTTGAAGAGATGTAATGAGAGCCTTAGATTACCCTTATTTATTCTTTTTACTCTATCTTTACGGACGTGCACTATGCCTTCTCAATGGAAAAGGTCATATGTAGTACCTATCTTTAAAAGCGGTGATAAGCATGACATAAAAAATTACCGTCCTATTTCGAAACTAAGTTGTATCCCTAAGATGTTTGAAAAGATGGTTTATGATACAATGTTACCCGTTATTAGACCTTTAATTATTGAACAACAGCACGGTTTTATTAACAGAAAATCTACTGAAACGAATCTTTGCGAATTCACTGATTTCGTTACGTGTGCAATGGATAATGGATATCAGGTGGACGCCGTGTACACAGATTTTTCTAAGGCTTTTGATAAAATATCTCACCTTATTCTTCTAGAAAAGTTAAAATACATTGGTGTACACGGCGACCTTCTGCGTTGGATTGAGTCGTACCTTAGTAACCGTAGTCAAGCAGTAACTATAAAGGGTTACTGTTCATCTTTTATTCCAGTCCCGTCTGGGGTACCCCAAGGATCCCATCTAGGTCCCTTATTATTTAATGTATACTTAAATGATATTAACCTAGTTTTCAAGCACTCCAAATTTTTACTATACGCTGATGATAATAAAATATTTAAAATTATTAAAGGTATAAATGATTGTATTGATTTCCAGAATGATTTAGATCGGTTTAGTGATTATTGTTCCATGAATTCTTTGTTCTTGAACATTAAAAAGTGCAATGTTATTACTTTTACTCGAAAACGTTTAACTATTAATTACCAGTACAAATTAAATAAAGAAATTATTTCCAGAGCTAGTGTGGTTAAAGATCTTGGAGTTATAATCGACTCCAAGTTACTCTTTGATGAGCACGTCGCTTATATAGCTAACAAAGCTTATCGTATGCTGGGTTTTGTACTGAGGATATCCAAAGAGTTTAAGCAACCGTCAACACACATTCTTTTGTACAACACCTTCGTGAGATCTATCTTGGAGTATGCTTCTTCTGTTTGGAACCCTCAGTATAAGAATCATATTTGTAGAATCGAACGTATACATGCTCACTTTATTAAGAACCTCCCAGTAAACATTTCTATTAATAATAAGAAAATTTCTATCCTTATGTCAGCAGTTGAACGACGTGCTCAACGAGATCAAGTCCTTTTATATAAGATCTTGAATAACGAAATCGATTCGCCGTATTTATTGTCTAAACTACAATTTAAATGTCCACGAAATATTAATCCCAGACAAAAATCCACTTTTTATGTCCCTGCTACCAGAACTAAATTTGCAAAAAATTCATTTATTAATAGAAGTTGTGATCAGTATAATAATCTTTTTATTAGTAATGACATATTTCATCTCTGTCTTAATAAATTTAAAATTAGTGTTATATACAATTTGATTAATGCAAGCTGTTATTGATTTTATTATTTTACATTATTAATTTAAAAATGTGTTATTTATTGAATTATATTCTAAGGATTTTATTGATTATTTGTAATTATTGATTGTATGGCATTTCTCTCTCTCTCTCTCTCTTTTAAATTTGTAAGTCTCTTTTTTAATTGTTATTTTTAATATTTTGCATCTGTATCCATGTCTTTGTTATAAGTGTTATTTTAACAACGGAAACTATTATTGGTTATGTATTATCAATTGTTTGTTATTCTATGTTTATCTTGTAACACCGTTTGTTTCCTTAATAAATAAAAAAAAAAAAAAAAAAATTTCACTCCCATAAGGGATGACTTCCAGGACAAAAACTATCCTATGTACTTCCCACGATCTTAAACTATCTTCCTACCAAATTTCATCTAAATCGGTCCAGTAGTTCCGGATCTTATTCGATACAAACAAATAAACAAAAACACAAATTTTTCCTCTTTATAATATTAGATATATAAACGTTCATGGTCATATTTCTTAATTAATTATCCAAGTACCTATTATAAATGCGAAACTTTGTATATCTGTATATTTTTGTCGATCCTTCCCTTACTTTTTATACCGAAATAAATGAATTTGGCTGAACAGATTTAGGTGAAATTTAGTGTACAGATAGGTTAAGACCTAAAAAACATAGACTCTGTTAGTTATAATACTTAAAGACCCAAAGCGAATCAACGGTGAGTTAATTGTAAATCCTTAATAATATTAAAAATATGAATTTACCTGTGTCTGTTATCTTTTTATTCTTAGACCGCTGAACAGATTTCGATAAAACTTGACAAGGATATATAGATTGCATCCTGAGATTAGACATAGGCTACACTGTCCCGCTCCGCTCATCACGCGAGCAAAACCGCGGGCAAAAACTTGTAAGTAAACAAATAAAACAACAGACAGACGTAGTAGCAGACAAAACTTAATATGGTAATGCTAAGTTAATATGTTAAAACATTAGTAATTCACCAATTAACTGCTAGTTCATGTTAATTAATAGTTTATTCATGAGAATTACACGCCCTTTTGGGGTTGTATTTTTTACGATACTTTTGAAAGTTAAGTGGAAGTACTCGTACAGTATGAACAAGTCAAAATTTATTTTAGCATAGAAAATAGAAGAAAAAGTCAAGTTATTTCTGAGCAGAAAAGCACATAATAGAATGTAGCGATTGGTTAAAATAACTCATTTCCAAGACAATTTCTTTTTCGCATGAAAATATCAGTCTGATTATGTTTAAAAATATAGCATTTATTTTTAATCATTAGATCTTTTAACAGTAATTACAGCATTTCACTCGACCAAGAATTCTTCTTAATCTTAAACGGCTCAATAATAGCACATAATTCTGGATAAAAATATAATACTAGCGAGGGATTTTGACGGTTAGTATGGAATAGATAGACTATATATTATACTAGCATTGCCCACTTCTCGGCCCGCGTTTAATTGACCGAAAACCAAATTCTTAGGTTTTACATATTAGCATACTGTTACATTCCAGTTTTTGTACTTTTTCTCAGAAATGAGACATTTTCCCGAGGTGAAAAGTATTCTATATGTAGACCCGGATAACTAGCTATCGCCACACCAAATTTCATAAAAATCCCTTCAGTGGTTTTTCTGTGATGCGGTAAAAGACAGACAGACAGACAAACATTCTAAAACCAATAGATTCGGCCTCTTTAATAATGTTTATTTGAATAAGATTTTCCAAAAAATATTTAATGTACAGATTCAGCTTAGCAATTTTATTATATGTTTAGATATACATAGTTATGATGGGTTGTTTTGGGTTGTATATAACGTGTTTTCCCGTGGGAATGAGATAATCTCCTGCAGTAAAATGTAGCCTATGCCACCCTCCAGCCTCGTAACTATCTACACAAAAAAACCACGCTGATCCGTCAATTTTTTCGACCTCAAAATAGGACAGACAAACAAACACATTTCATATTTATAGTATTTAAGTATAGATTAGACTAGCATAATCTAAAATCACTTACTTCGTTGAATCTCCTGATCAAAGTCCTGACACTACTCTTTACTTGAGGTGTGTGTGTAGGAGGTGCTCTTCTAATCATGTGGCGATCACTAACTGTTCCTAAGACACCTTCTCCTCCAAGATCGAGAGTCACTTGTCGAAGGTAGTCGATTGGTGGTACCTGAAACAAAAACAGAATCTTCCTTTAATATTTTTATACTCTTGTATTATCTAGATTATATAGACAACTGGCATTGCCCGCGGCTCCGCCCGCATTCAGATGACCAAAAACCAAATTCTTAGGTTTTACATATATATATTCTTACATTGCAGTTTTTGTATTTTTTCTCAGAAATAAGACATGTAACAAACTTCAGTTTGTTACATTAAAAGAAAAAGGGAATATTTTCCTATCTACAATAATCATTTTATTGACGCCATGATATAATAATAATAAAACCGTGTGATTTTAAAACAACACATGTCACACTTTTTTGAAAATTAAGTCTCTGAACGAATTTTATTCCTTAGATCTAGGCAATGCTAGTATATATATATATATATATATATATATATATATATATATATATATATATATATATATATATACTAGCATTATTATATATATAGGTATCTAGGGATGAACCCAAGCAAAGCGAGGGTGAGTCACTAGTAAAATAATATTTATTTACTTTTTTTAGGTGCTAAAAATTTTCGCCGATGCAAAGCAAATCTAATATATTTCTATACGTAAAATACATATTTTCCTATTACATATGAATATGTTAATAATATTTTAATGTGTCACGCTATGAAACCTTCGATGACCGAATTAACTTGCCTGATTTTTAAAAATTGCCATTGTTTGGAAAATATTAATAAAATGGACATAACACAAAGCCTTCAACTATCGAACCTACACCTTCATCATATTATTCAATGATAATCAAATAATCTACATCTCCAAAAGCCGTCTCCATGCAAATTCACATCAGACCTTCTTTAGGAAATGGGGAAAATTTAAATATAATGTACCTTATATTCTTGGAAAGATAGTAAATCTCCCCGGATAAAATATAACAGATGCGGATGAAATAATGTTTACGATAACAATACTTGTTTTGTAAATGTTAAACGTTTTTTGAATATGTCTTGAGATTCCCCGAAAGTTGTTTTCGAATTGTCCAAAATATTGAGGATGGTTTTAGACTATCCAACGTCACGCTATAACGTTTAAGAGCAGAGCAATCTTCAGTTAAATGGTATATACTATTAACAGTCAATTTTATTTATATGGAGCGTAGAATTGAGAATTAATATATATATATATATATATATATGTATATATGTTATGTTATCCATATACTATGAACATCATCTTTGGTGGTTATTCATCTTGTGGGCGTTATCAGGGACATCACAATGGTATAGACTTGTCACTGTAATTCTAATGATTTAGAGCTAGCGGGTTCACAGTCACCAATCATCGACTTCCAACTAAAATATCAAAGCTCTCTATAAACCACAATGATCAACCAACGTTACTAAGCCACGTATCTCCTAAGAATGTTGTGATGGCGTCTCGACACCGCTCGATATATATATAAATGTAGGCGCAAATAATTTAGACAGTTTTAAATACATTACTTTTAGTCTTTGCAAATTTTCGCAGATTTATTTTATTTTTGGTTCCTGAAGTTTCAGATGCTTTATAGCCATCATGGTCTCGTTAAAGACCCAAAATCTAAGTAAATCCGCGAAAAAAGCCGAAATTATTCTTTTATTTATAATGTCAAATATTTGCGTAAATATAAGTAAATATTGAGTAATTTTATTGTACGTACAGCTGATCTGTTTAGTTCTATCTTTGTAGGTGTGGTACACTACATTGTTAAGTCCATTAAATATGTTGGGACATTACCAAACAGCCCGATCTAGTTCCATGCTAGCTACTATGCTCATTACACAAATGAATGCCCCCAGCAGGACTCGAACCCGCGATCGCTGGCACAGCAAGTAGGGTGCTACAAACTGTGCCAAACGTGTCGTCAAAAAGCTTTTAAACAAGGAGAACACTCGCATATCTAATCTTATTCATTACTGATGCTATATCTAATACATTAAAACGAGCACTTCTTGTATATTAATTAATTAATTTATTTATTTATTTACATCGGTGATATTTATACGGCTCTGACGATATCGCTGAAATTTGGTATATGGGGGTTTTTGGGGGCGAAAAATCGGTCTAGATTAGTCTTGTGGCTGGGAAAACGCGTGTTTTTGAGTTTTATGCGGTTTTCTATCGCATTTTTCTACGCAAAATATGGTCACTAATTTCGCACGCTCGGGCATAAGCATTGTGGTCAAGCGGCTAAGGCGCAAGATCACAGGTTTACGGGTTCGAATCCCGGTCGGATACAAAGTTTTTACTTTTAATACTTTCTTTATTATATGTTTTTTATTTGTATTTACTTTTTTTTTTGGTTATTCGAGTTTTTAGCTTTTTTTTATTTTTAAGCCAAATTAAAAATAAAATTGTACTTTTGGCCAAAAATGAGATTATTATCTAAAAAAACGATACAACAAAAAATAACTCCAAGCAAAACTTGGTCGCCCAGGTACTTCCATATCATACCTATTATTTGGTCTACTGGTTAGTATGAACGGTTGTTGATCTGGAGGTCCTGGGTTTGGGGCTTGGATCGGGCCGCGAAGGCATAATTATTGAGTTTTTCCACCAAGAAAATGTTAGTAACAGACCGAAGTTTAGAAGTTGGCGGTGCACCCTCGGGCCTCGGAGAGCACGTTAAGCCATCAGTGTTGCACCAATATTAAATAAATAAATAAATATTGGGACATTAACACACAGCGTCATCTAGTTTCACGGTAAGCTACGAGGCTTGTGTTATGGATACCAGATAGTTGATACACTACACATATATAATTTTAAATACATACATATTATAAATATAAACACCCATGACTGGAGTACAAACATCCGTGTTCATCACACAAATGAATACCCCCAGCGGACTCGAACCCTCGACCGCTGGAACAGCAAGTAGGGTCACTACCAACTGAGCCAAACGTGTCGTCAATTGTTCTGTCGTCGATATTTTCAACTAATCTCTCGCCGGTCCTATCGAATTATCATTTTAACAGACTTTGAGAGTGAACGTATCATGTAATAAATTATTCAGAAGCAATTGTTGAGAAGTAATCTATTTATGGAGGTAAGAATCGGTACAGTTAGCAAACGCATCACGTAATAATAACCACAAAATAAACACCCACCCGAATTGAGTCTTTCTTCTCTCCCTATCTCTCTGATAAGAATAAGAGAGAGAGAGAGAGAATCTCCTCTTTGTTAAAGTCGGTCAAAACGTAGCTCGCTTTTTGGAGACTAAAATACAATTTTTATTCCGGAAATGTAACTTTTTAATTGGTCGAAGTTATAATAAGTTGCTATCAACTCAAGCGTATGTTTTACTCTCATCTGAATTTTTTTTGGTATCTTATTGGTATTATTATATTAGGGGAAAATTCCCACCAATGCATATTAAATTATTTTTACTATCATTGAGCAATCGAACCCACGACTATGAATAGTTGAACAATTCAATGCATAGTTCTTTTTGAAAGCAACTACAAAGCAAATGTGTCAAACATATTTACAAGGCTTCTAGCTTTTGACTTTTTAGTAATAGAAGTGGAAAAGTGTTTGTTCTGACGAAGACGTATATTGTTCAGTATATTTGTAAAAAAGAATATTTTTTTATTACAGCTTTATAGTATTTTGTATATTTCTATTATAAACTAGCGACTTAATCTCGCTTCACTCGGGTGCGTTCGTAGATACGTTTTAATTTTTTTTAACGGAACCCTAATTCTTTTTCTACAATAAAAGTTTCCTAAGTTACTTCTTAAAATATCAGCTATCTACCAGTGAAAGTCCCATCAAAATCAGTCCAGCTGTTTCGGAGATTTGGTGGAACAAACAGATATACAGACAGATAGACAGACTATATTATGTATTTAGTAAAAGTTGTTATTTTGACATTACAGTCACTTCAATTTTATTTATCTGTATTACGGTGGCTCAAAAAAAAACAAATATTTTTGTTCGAGTCTCTTACGAAAATATGTTAGTTTATTATATTTTAAGAGCCCCTCTAAAGCACAGGTTCAAAAAAATTCAATAGGTCGCTCAAATTTTAAAATTTCCAAAATAGTTGAAAATCGATTTTTTCCTTTTTATTTTATATCTGTGGCTAAAAGATTTGACAGTAGCATATTGTGGCATTGGATGACAACACAGATCGTCATTAAAATACACTTTCAGATGATCAAAAACCAAATTCTTAAGTTTTATATATTAGTATACTCTTACATTGCAGTTTTTGTATTTTTTCTCAGAAATGAGATGTTTTCTCGCATTAAAAAGTATCCTTGACCAGGATTACCAGCTACCATCATACCAAATTTCATCAAAATCCCTCCAATAGTTTTTCCGTGATGCGGTAACAGACAGACTGACAGAAAAATTCTAAAAACTATAGATTCGGCATCTGTATCGATAATAATGTCTATTGCAATAAGATTTTCCAAAGAATATTTAATGTACAGATTCGGCTTAGTTACAATTTTATTATATGTATAGATATTAAATGTTAAATGCTTATATTAATATATATGAAAATATGGACCTGTGTCTGAATGAAAATAAATGAATAAAATAAAATAAATATCACTGTTTTCTAATATAAAAATGATTAGTGTTCTGAAATTTTCAAGTCGATATTTTAATATTGAAGGGTCATTCAAGATTTTGTTAAGTTTCCGACTAAATAATGTACATTTTCAGATGTTAAATAGTGAAAATCGTCTCAATTTTTTTTTGCATCTCTCTAGTCTTATATCTGTTCTTTAGTATGTCAAGTTCAAGAAAAAAAAGTCGCTCACATTCTTTAGTAAGTTTTCAGTAGTTAATTTTATCTAAATCGGTCCAGCCGTTTTAGGGTAAAGGAATAACAAACGTACAAGTATATAAACTTTCACATTTATAATCCCGTACATATTTGAAGACTAGCTACTCTTTAACGTTCAGTATAGATTTCTAAGAGGAGATATTTTCCCGCAATAATAAGTATCGTATATGTTCACCCGGATAACTAGTTA